TCTCCTCTCCTCTCCTCCCCCCCCCCCCCCCCCCACGCACAGTGCAATAATTGATGTCCTATCCAGTTTGTTTTGTTCTTTTTAATGCTGATGTAATATCATGCATCAGGCACATCACACAATTTTGTTTGCTTGTTTTCTTTGGTTTCAAACCGCTTAAGCATTTATTTACCTTTTAGGCTAGACTGATTTTGAAAGAACCTCTCTAATCACTCGAGTCAATAATACACATTTTTAAAGAATGACTAATGTATTTACCTGAGAGACCAGTATAGCTGTGAATGAGCTTTTCCAGTCTATTGAATAAATAAATATGCATTTTATAAATTCCATGGAAGGATCTGGGGGGGCTTTTTGCATGAAAAAGAAAATAGACTCCAGCAGAAATAAAGTCTTAAACCTGTGATGTAAATTCACTGTTTGAGGGATGCTTTCAAGTAACTTTGTATGGTTTTTGTTTTGCATTCTCTCAATATCCTGTTAGCCCCTCCAGGTCTTTCCTCCTCTATTTGGTAAATTGCTTCCAACCCCTATTTTTGAATAGGGCTGTCATGAACAGGACAATTAATTCCACAACTCCAACCTATATCAACCATATCATATCAACGCATCTTTATTTCTGCATCTGATCATGTGCAAAACTTTGGGAAGTGATATTGTAATCTTTTCCTTGCACAACCTGCCCATATAGAACTAAACATTATTTGAGAAGCCCCACAAAAAAGTGGTGCTGTCAAATTGCTCATATGAAGAAGTTGGTTTCTCCCACCTGATTTTAACATCTTCAAGGTAACATAAATTTGTGGACTGGGAAGCCTGATATTTAAGTCTGATGCTTGCTGATGAATAGATGTCTTTGTGCTGGATTGTATATTATTATTATTATTATTATTATTATTTATTATTATTCATTATCTCATTCTTAAACTGTGCTGAAATGTTTGTTCTTGCCTTGAGTCATTAAGTACATACCTTCTACTGGTGTAAATATCTTTACACCTTTGTTTTGGGATGCACTCTGTGTCATTTTAGAACAAAATTTTATGTCACTTTCAGAATCTGACTTGACATGGGTTAATTTTAACGTAATGATTTATTTGTACCTACTGACCGTTTTTCAAAATCAACGTCGTGGCATTCCACATGCATGCTTATGCGCATCCCTCGCTTTCCAAAAAATAGTTTAAGATCAAGTGAGCGTACACTCTTAACAAAAGGCTCCATGAATACAGCACATTTACAATATCTGACAACACTTAAGCCAGGTCTATGCTGGAAGGTTGGCTTAAGGTATGCAAATCCAGCTACATAGAATACATAGCTGGAGGTGCCTTACCTTCAGCCAAGCTTGGCGCTATCCTCACTGCGGGAGGCCAATGGGAGCAAATGGTCACGTTGGCTTCCCTTTCTCCTTGCTACTGCGAGGAGTACAGATGCCAGCCAGAGTTGCCTTTGGTGTTCGATTTAGCAGGCGTATGCTAGACCTGCTTAATCAAACTCCAGAACATCAGTCTCTGGCGTGGCGAGTGAGAATGTGCCCTTAGGTTCTACATGCCTGTATCTGAACAACAACATACCTTATTTAAATGGTCATGCTGTGTACTTGTAGTAGCTTAGTAACTGATTCAACAAGATAAGTTGTCTGAAAGACTTGAAGATGCAATCCTAGATTACATGTATACATTCACTTCTTAGGCTACATCTACACTGTGTGTTTTTTGCGGAAGAGGAAATGCAAATGGAGCACTTGTTTGCATATCTCACACTCTTTCCGATCCTTTTTGTGGAAGATGTTTTTGCAATAAAAAGCCATGTAAGTCGGGGCCATTTGTCAGAAAAACCCTTTTGCGCCAGATCTCTTATTCCTCAAAAAATGAGGTTTACAGGCTCTTGCTCAAAAGAGCTTTTTTCCAACAAATGGTCCCGTCTACACAGGGCTTTTTATCGCAAAAAACTCTTCCGCAAAAAGGATCAGAAGAAGATATGCAAATGAGAGTGTAAGATAAGCAAATGAGTGCTACATTTGTATTTCCTCTTCCACAAAAAACACACAGTGTAGACATAGCCTTAGATTGATAGAGGTTTGGATTGACAGGAAAACATCAGGGATATGAGGAATATTATGCAATATGCTAGCAAGCCACGTTGCAGTAATATCAAAACGCTGCTCCTCCGCCTGTGGAAATCCTGCAGTCTTGGAGAAAAGTGAAGAGCTGGCTTACATCATTTACCTATGTGCATTTCTCTACATTTAGTTTTTAAACATTATTGTTTTCACTCTTCTGATCTTCTGTCTACAGAAGTTTCACTGACTTTAGTGAGTGTTCTGAGAGTGGAAAAGCTATACTATAGGACCCTCAGATCAAGGGTTCAATTTATGATGCTCGAGCTGGTAGCCAGAATTCTAGTGCCACTTCTATTAGGTCTCCTCTTTCAATGTCTGCTGTTATTTTTGCTTATAAAGGGCCAAAGATCATCATATGCAGTGCTTCTAGAGTAAAACTATTCCTGTAAAATTGATGTATCAGTGGAGACGGTTGGAGACATCCAATTATGTATCAGTGGAGACGGTTGGGAAGGAAATGCAGCTACCTCAGTTCTCAGACCCATGTGCCAATTTGAACTTCATGGCTGAAGGTTTAATCCCCAAGTATCCTATCACCAATTCAGTTTGTGATATTCTGGCTGACATGCTCTCTTTCCTTATTTATTGATGTCTTTGGTCATCAGCAATGAGAGGAAAATACGCTATTTGTCAAAACAATGGTGGCTTACCCTCTGTTACCGTTGATGCTTTTGTCACGATGATTAGAAAATATATTAAATCCTTTAAAAAGCTAAGACTATGAACATGCCATTGTTAGGGGAAAAAAAGATTTGTAAAGTACAGTATCTTTCTTAAATGTGGGATATAAATTGCTGCATCATAAAAAGATATTTTTGAGTCTCGTTTGTGCAATACCCGATCATTTTAGCCAATCTGCTTTTCATTTCTTCCCATGAAAGAAACCCTACTCCTGATTCTTCTTTTTTTGTACCTACAAGCGAACACATATACCCACCAAATTTTGAATAATAAATACTTCCAGCTGACACCAGTTTGTTAGAATTTGCCCAAATTTTTTATTTTTTAACAAAAGATATTTGTCTTTAAATAATACATATATTCACTATGTCCTTTAAGTTTACCAAATATTTGTGATGGCTAATAACCATTTGATGATCTTATCCAGTGAGTGAAACTCAGTATGCAGCTGAGTCTTGAGACCCTTCTCCTCTGCCATCCACATAGCTATACTCCAACTTACAGCCTTGTAACTCAGTAACCACATATCTTCCCACATTTCACCTTTGGGAGGCATTGTATATACAGCTACAAGTAAAGAGCTGCAAACCAGAAGGGACAAGATAGCATAATGGGGATGTCAATTCGTGGTCAGATATCTGAAGAAATATTTGTCTTACTTGTACTGTACTTGGCAACAGATCCAGCAATATAAACTGTACTGAATAGTTTTGGTCTTTAGCTGACAGAATATATATCACTATACACTGAAATTATGAACCAAAAAAAGTCCAGGATTTCTTTGCCTCAGTTTAAAAAAAACAAAGCTTAAAGGATAATGTAGTGAAAATGTCCCAATTTAAAATTAACTACTGCTATATTCATAAATTACTCATTTGTTTTTCTGACATAGTCTCTTTCTACCACTCTAAGGGATGTCTAGACTGCACTCTAAAATTGAAATAAGATGCGCAATTTGCGCTACACAAATTGCGTATCTTTTTTCCATTTTGTTTCAAAATAAGCTTTTTTAAAATTTGGCGCATCCACATGGGACAGGAAAATAGCCTTGCTGTCTAGACATACCCTAAGAATCAAATGTTAAAATCTTGTTTATTCATGATTCAGCAACATAGTAATAGCAATGTGTGTTTGTTATTTAGAAAAATATACAATATACTTTTTTGGCAGAGGAATGTGCAAGGACTGCAGTAAGAAATTTCTTTTTGTGTCAGATTTACTATGTGGCCTGGGGCAAATTATGCCCATTTCCCCATCTGTAAAATGAGGATCATATTACTTACTTTCTTCCCTCAGGGGGATGTAGTGAGGATGGATTAATGTTTGTATAGTGCTCTAAAGATGGCAATCTCTTCTGAATACTAGATGATATTGTTTTCTTGTACTTGCATAACTATAGTAGTAGCTATTTCAGGTTAATGTGGTCCTGTGCACAGCCTTTGTGTTATGTCTTGAAGCCTGAATTTTCCCCATAATTTTGCAGTTATTGAATCAAGCATGGCTATGGAAGCAACCAGACAAAATATAAACAAGAGATGTTGCCAGTCAACTGATTACTGCGGCTGTTATCAGAAATACTGGGAGACGATCTTCAAGCTTGCTACAGATACTAAGCACATCCTGATGTGCCATCCATGGAACAAAGAAAAAAACCACTTTGTGGGGGTTGGGGAAGTAACACAGAATGAAATTCTGTTATTTTAAATATCAGGTGGAGATTGGAATTCATGGGAAGAGACCTTCCACTAAAATATGTTGTTTCAGTATCTCCGTAAATGTGCTGGTATTTCTTACTAAAATCTTCCTGATATTTCCCAGCAAGGGAAATCAGGGGGCAAGACAAAGGTTAAGAACATATGAGAAGTATGAACTCCCACCCTTCAGAACAAGTATGAAATTCCTCTTTCTATTGTTGTGTAGACCAAAGGTGAACATCAATCCCTACAGCCGAAGCTATCTTATTAGACTGTCAAGGTGACAGCTTCTGGTTTATTGTTACTTCTTCAGGTACATGATATTTAAGACACTTAAACCCTGTTAGTTATTTCTTCTTTGATTGGAGTGATTAGACTATCTCTCATGCTACAGTGCTGTTTCTCTTTAAATATATTTGTTAGAATTTAACCTGGCATTACCATGAAAAAGCTGTATATCTCATGATTTACATTTTGATTTTTGTTGTGTTTTAATGTAGAGCAGATTGGACAGGAAATGTTGGAAAACCTGAGCCAAGATAGAGAGAAGATCCAGCGTGCTCGGGAAAGGGTGAGTTTGATGATAAAGAATTGTTGGCATAGTTTTTTGTGTGCTGTGGCTAAATTCACTGTGCTAGCAGAAATACTCCAGCAAAATGATTAAAACCTTAAATAAGTCAACTATTATATCATGATATGTAATTACTACCCATTCCTACTTACTAAAAAGTAAAAGTCCAATATGTGCCTGATCCTACGAATTCCAACTAGCACAAATAGTCCCATTGAAGAAGTCAAATGCATCTGCATTGGCCAGGAAAAATTCTCCCTAATCCTGCAATTTGACCTGATAAATGCCTGCCTTGGAATTTTTTTCAAGGCCAAATTTTTTTTTTCCTGTTCCTGCCTGGAACAAGGTCAAGAAAGAATAAAGTTTTCCCAGGAAGCTAACTGGTACGGTTCCAGTCATAAGCCATCCACAGACCTGTGGTCACAAATGGAAGACCTCAAATTTCTAGTACTCGGTCTCATTATATGCCTCTTTGTTAATGATTTCAGGTCTCTGTTAGATCCATATGAGAGCATATGTCTGTAGCATGATGTCCACTCATAGATGGTGATCTTAGCTCGCATCTCTATATATCCCGTTTTCTAAACTGTCGCTAAAAGACCAGCGATGAAGGCCATTGTACCTCAGTGGCCAATACCTTTGCAGAGGCATCATGTTACTGAGCAGAAAGATAAGACTTTTTCCTATAGGACTGTTGTATGACCGCACTGAAGTGGAATATAACATTTGGTTCTTAGACCCATATTATTGAGAAGATGTTGACTAACTGGTTGGATTCACTTATGAGTAAAGTTTAAGTGAGTTAAATGTCTGGCTAGAAGTACATTGCTTGACTAAACATTATAGATATTATAATAGTTTCCCTCTGTTTGAAAAATGGAAATGCCATAGAACCAAAGAGTGCATTAACCTAAGATCAATGTGGGGAATAACTAGAAATACCAGGAAATAATTAAAGATTTAGTTTGCATCTCATAAAATATATTCCACAAAAAGTGAGAGTTACTAGCCTGCCAAGAAAATGATAAGAATAATGAGTTTGGAGGATTCATCCAAATGTATCAGTAAAATGGACACGGTGACTTACTACTTCCCACCATACCATTCACCTCCATCAGTTCCACCACCTTGTTTATTTCCTTCTCCCTACCTTTTTCCCATTATTTAAAATAAGCAATTTTTTAAAACTTGTGCACTTCATTGATTTTCATTTTCTGATCTCAAAGCACCTTCCAAAGGGAAGTATCATGATACCTGTGTTGCAGAAGGTCATGCAGGCCTGTCAAACAAGACCATCCCTCCCAATTCCCAGAAAAAGTGAACAAAGCTTTTTTCCACCAGTGTATCCCAAGAATGCAACCGATTATTCAATATATGAGAAATGGAGAAAGAGCTGTCTTGGAAATACTTTGTTTTAGAATAAGTGTATTTATGATTTGAAATGTATATGTTGGGTTTTCTGCCAATGCAGAGTAGAAGAGGTTGTGTTTTTACTACTCCTTTAGGATATAGATAGATGACTTTCAAGTTTGCCTGTTTAGTCTAACTTTTCTTCTGCTAGCTTATATTTTAAGATTATCCAGTCCTGACTGCCCTCATTTTGCTAGAGAAGTTTAACCTAGGTAGTGGTAATTTCATCACTACCTTAAACAGTGATTTCCCCTTCAAGTTTGCCAAACTCCTCCAGCAAAAAGAGGGCAGATAGGACCTGATATGTAAAAATAAAAAAGGTTTCTTGCTTTTTTACAACAAAAAGAGAAAGCCATGTAACTCTCTTCCTTCATCCCCCTATGTTTGAGCCCATCATTACCCATCATAAAAGAGCAATTTTAATGTGCACACTTTTGCTTACAGTTCCCCTTTGCCATGGATAAAAACTTGATTTTGTAATAAGCTTTTTAAATATTGTAGCTAGTACATTTTTCAGTTGGATGTATCATACTGGATTCATCTGGTTTTCCAGAAGCTGTATCGGCCAGCCTTTACCTAATACATCATAAAGCATCCATGACATGGCTTTCCCAGGAGAAAGCACGCACCCTATCACATCATTCTTCTTAGTTACAAAGCACCAGGAGAAAGTCCAACCTTTTTGGAGTGGGAGTGTCAATTATTCCTACCCTTCTACTTTGTTCTTCTTTTAAGTAGTACTTAATTAAATAATATAACCACAAAATAATTGTTCACAATATTGTAAAGGAAATTCATAACTAAATATCCTATCTGGCAGTTGTTTACTACTTACTGAGGTGAATGCAACTACTTGCACTTGTGAGCAGTAAATATTTGCAAGGTCAGAAAATAGAAGCTGTTCTTAAAGCACGTTATGTACTAGGTATTCAACAGGTACTTTTGAGTGTAACTTCGGATAGTGAAGACCCTTTGTTATCTGGAGATTCCCGCTTACAGTTGCCCCTTTTCCTTTTTATGAATTTGTAACACGAAGTGGCTACGTTTACATTGGCAAGATTTTGCGCAAATACTTTTAATGCAAGAGTTTTTGCGTTAAAGTATTTGCGCAAGAGAGCATCTACACTGGCATGTGCCTTTGCGCAAGAGATGTGCTTTTGCACAAAAGCATCCGTGCCAGTGTAGACGCTCTCGCGCAAGAAAGCTCCCATGGCCATTTTAGCCATCGGGCTTTCTTGCAGAAGAAATTAACATTGCCTGTCTACACTGGCCTCTTGCGCAAGAACAGTTGCGCAAGAGGGCTTATCCCTGAGTGGGAATGTCAGAGTATTTGTGCAAGAAGCACTGATTTTATACATTAGAACGTCAGTGTTCTTGTGCAAACACTCGCGGCCAGTGTAGTCAGGTGGCAAGATTTTGCGCAAAAGCAATTGCTTTTGCTCAAAATCTTGCCAGTGTAGACACAGCCAGTGTGTTTTTGTCTCCGAGGCCAAAGTCTCTAATGCAATAAGACATTGCTTGTCCTACCTGCTGAATCATCAGGCAGCCTATTAAATCTGTGGTATCCCTCCAGATCTGAAGCAGTAACCACGATAGCAAACTAGTCACACTCAACTGACCAAATAGCCATGTGTGTTGGACACCATGGTATTAAATTATTTCCTTCTGTAAGGATGTTAAATCGTTAGCCAGTAAGCATTAGTCTTTCCAGTTAACCCACACGAACCGTTCAAGCCCCTGGATCAGCTGGAGCGGCCTCCTCTCCACACCCAAACTGGCTTGCACAGCACCTGTTGCTGGCCAGCCAAGCAGCCCTGGCTCTGCACCTGCTGGCTAGAGCAAC